GCTGCTCCCACGCCTGCCTCCGGGGGCGGGCGGCGGCGACCACGCCACGTACGCGCCGAGCGAGGACTCGGCGCCGCCAACGCCACCCCGCATACACGGACCGTACAATTTCTTTTTATTTCTTTCCATTTCCCCCCGTACAGTTTCTGTCTCGACGGGCAGCAAGCAGCAGCAGAACCAGAACCGCTCGGTGCGTACCGCTGCTGTGCCCAGTAAGTACCCCGGCCGTACCCGACGGTACCCGCAGGCCATAGTTGGATACCCACCCGACAGGTGGCTTCCCGTAAGTGGAATAAGAAGAGAGGGGGGAGTAGCGGGAGGGGCGTGGAAGCGTTCCCCGAAAGAGAAGAGAGGCCGTGGCCGCTGGCCGCGCCACACGGACGGGCGCGCGCGGGACGGCGGCGCGGCGGGGGCGAGAGCTCTCCGGCGGCGACACCTCCGCCAGCACGCACGCACGCACGCGAGCACGCCCACGCGGCACACCGCTCCGCACCGCCGTCGTGCAGGCCCCGCTCGCTGGCGTGCTGTCCGCCAGGATGCACCGGACACGTCTCCCACCTGTTTGCAGAGCTGGTCGGCTGCTCGCTCTCGCACGCCGAGCGGAAGAGGTGGGCGAGAGACAGAGAGAGTCGTGTGCGTGAGAAAGAGAGGGTTACGGCGGGCCAACATTTCCGGTGATTTGTCGTGGGCGCCATCCGGCTCCGGGCCGGAGCGGAGCCCCGCCGTGCGCCGCCGTGCGCCGTGCCGCGCCGACCGGACGCCCTGCTGCCCTGCGGATTAGGGCGCCTGTACCCGGCTCCCGGCGAGGTGTAGGAGGCGCCCCACAGTCTGCAGAGGACGCCAGCCGCTCCTCCGCGCTCACCCTCGCCTACGCCTACGCATGCGTCCCACCCCCATACTCTCAAACTCTGCACTAATTAAGCGCCATTTACGCAAAAAATTGGCTATAGCCTAGGGTTAAAACTAGAAAGGATAGCTTAAGCCTCTAAGGTTAAAAGTTGTATCAGGAGGCCAGTCAAGGTGGCCGATGAACTTCGCCGCGATTTTCTAGAGTAACTGGCCGAGGCGTGCGGGTGGAACTCGCCTACCCGTGGGGCGCCGTGGTCAGCGGCGATAGGCAAACCCGCCCGCACGGGCTTTGATGCCCCCTTATTTCAGCCCCTTAGGGGTGGTTGCCAGGTTTTCTAGGAGTGAACCTTAAGATACCCTAAAAATTTGAAGTCTTTAGCACATCTCCTTCTAGTGGAACAGACACACAGACACGAGGTCGTTTGCATACGCCCGCTAGATAGCTTTTCTAAAGCTGAAGGGCGGGCTAAAAAC